GGGAGGGCTTTTGAGTCATCCTCGAGTTTTTATCTCGGCGGGGTGCTGCCCTCGCCCTCTAGATTGGGCTAGGAACTTCTGTCTCTTCTCACGTGTTTTTTTTAGTTTTAATAAAGGATTGTTTGGCATAATGTGATGGGCCTGAAAGTTAAAACGCGAGCAAGGCCTACGAGTAAAAGCAACAACAACAAACAAACAAAAAACAGGGAAGGATAAATCTCCATTTGAGCTTGAATGTGTCCTAGTTGCTCCTGGGTCTGAGCAGAAGAGACCGCTTGGTGCGTTTGCTACGGCTGCAGTGTCTTCTGTGGCTTGTTGGGGTTTTTTGATGGGCAGTGACTGGTGTTAGTAGTGGGTTTCTTGGTGCTCCTCTTCCTCCCCCACCTTTGCAAACGGCCACAGTACGCAGCTTTCCCGCTCCGGATCCCCAGCAGACTCTGCAAGTTTAGACTGTAGTATCCTCACGTTAAAGGCTTTTTGCAGTTTTGTACTTCTGTACTGCCTCCCATGTGCATGGTATTTCCATTTTTCTGATTGAGCAGAGATTTGAGTTTTCCCAGGTACAAGATCTAGCTGTTTTTTCCCTCTGAAAACGCAGAGTTGGAAGGCTTCCTGAGTTTTGTGCAAGAGCTCTTTGCTTTCTCTTGCTCAGAAGGAAAGGGCAGTTGCAATGTTGGATTTCTTTAAAACGTTCTCAGAGTGGGGCAGGTCATATGGTTTAACAACAAACTTCCTTCATCCTTTCAAAGGAAGGAGTATGGTTTGCTTGCTTGACACAGCAGCTTTCACTTGAACTAGAACTGAGTGCAGTATTGCACTGCGTTCAGTAATGAAACAAATGCAGACTTGCAACAAAACCAAAGCAGATGACTATTGTTCTTGACCTAAGCAATGATGTGCTGCAGAATCTTTACAATGACAAAGAAGAAAAAGGAAAAAAAAGAAATCCTTCATGCTACGAGAACTACTTGCGTTCATGACTTCCAAAATGCTAGGAGGCTTTTGAAGTGGTGTATTGATTTTGGTATTCATGGGATGACTGCGGTTGGGAGGGACCTCTGAAAGCTCTCGAGTCCCACCTTCACTTAAAGCAGGGCCAACTTTGAAGTTAGATCAGGTTGTTATATTTCATCACCCTGAAGGGTATGTAAAACCTCATCAAGTCTTGCTGCGTGTCACCAGATCATTGTGAATTGTAAATATCCTTTCTAAGAGAATTAGGTACTTGTAATCTGATGACTCATTTCTGGGGGGAATGTCTCATAAAAAATAATCAGCTCAGTTTGTGTTTGGGGTGTGCAAGTCATGACAAAGCTCTGGAAGATTTTTAGGCTCAATGTGGAATGTCTTGGGGAAGTTGGAAGAGGGAAGGGAGAGAAGGGAAGGCAAGGCAAAGCAATGGTCAAAACCAACTGATGAACGAAAATTTCAGACTGGGGGGTATGTGCTACTGCCATCCCACTTGTGAAAGTGCTCACTGCCATTTTCCACTTTTGCTCTGCAGTACTCTTAGGCTAAGTATGTAACCGATTCCGTGTGCTACCGTGACTTTTATTGACAGTTGAAAACACAGGCTTTCCAGCGTTTTTTTTTTTGAAACAGATGTGATGTCTCCTGTTTACACTGACAAAATAAATGTTTAAGGATAGCTATGCTCTTAGTTACATTTTTTTCCAGTTGTGGGTGGGAGAGAAAGGAGATAGCTAGAAAACCATGTTTTAGTTGGTCTTCTTGACATGAAGTGAAGACCATCAAATGGCATTTACAGAAGAATTAAGACTAAGCTTTTTAAAGTACTGGGTAGCTGAGTACTGACAAACCATAAAACAACTCACTACCATCTTGGGGTCTTGTGGTCACCAGAAAAAGATGTTTTTCCTATTTTTATTTGTTTGTTTGTTTTTCATTTCAGCCTGTTCTCTATAAATAGAAGTGATCACTCACTTTTGGAGGTTTGAAGGAGCGGAGAATTTAGCAGAGATGAGAGCTTGCAAATGTGGTAGTTCCAGAGAAAATAATGCTCATTAGTGAAAGGATGTTATCAGTAAAGCTGGTAACCTAGTGTATAAACACGGGGTTAGTTCAGGCAGTCTTTCACCAGTGCAGCTCACTACATTGAAACTGTTTTTCAACATTGCGATGACTTCTTAATTGCTTCCAGAGTTGTGTACATTGTTTTGGCATGCGGTGGTGGAGAGGTTAGAAATAGAATGGACTGAAACATAGGGAAAATATTTATTGTACAAATGCACAGTTCTACAGAAAAACATGCAGAACTTAAGGTTCAGTGCCATGTTCTCAAGCTTCATGAATGTTTTCCATAGTTCCTGCTCCCTATACCTCCTCCCCCCACACGAAGAGGGTAAGCATGTGTTTAGTTTAAAAAAAAAAAAAGTTGACTAATTAAGATACCTTTAAAACAATCCTGCTATGGCCCGTCCGCCCGCCCTCCCCCGGCCCTCCCCACTGCTCCCACGGGCAGGACGCGCGCCGGCTGCCTCACGTCAATGGGCCGGCTGCATGGGTGCTGGTGAGTGCACTGACCCTCGTGGCGAAGGGTTGCGGGATGCTACGTGGTGTCTCTTGTTGTGTATATATCATTTGGTGTTTAGAAGTTCATAGGCTTTGATCAAAAAGCAGTAGCGTTTGTGTTTTAAGGAGGGGTGCGGAGCTGGGGTTTTGTTTTTTTCTTTTTTTTTGAGCTTCAGATTGCCTTAATAAACAGCACCTAAAAAGAAATGAAGCTGCTAGTTGCAAATGCTCTGCTGTTTTCTCTTTAGTCTCTTCACTTGCAATTCAATGAGCCAGATGTGTCAGGCTCAGCCTATGTCTGTAGTGAGTGTTTGAATAATCTTGGCTGCTGTTTCCCGCATGTATTGTTCACAGTGGCTCACTGTATGGCGTTTGCTTAGCAGGGGAAGAATTTCAGTACCACTGCGCAGAACTGCTTCTTTCATGCCCCTATTTATTTAAATAGCAGAAGATTCATACTTTTGAGCAGTTTTCTGGCACTCAACAGCAACCAAAGAATCCCGTTAAACTGAAGAGTTTTGTTGACTAAGCTTCCCGATCTGCTATCAACACTAAAACTGAACGGGTGTGAAAAATTAGAGTGGTGCTGGCTTGCAGCGATGCTAATAATAATACTACTACTAATAAAAAGCTATGTGAGAACTTGTTCATTAATTAGTCAAAACTTTGCAACGTTTTGGTAGACAAACTAAATGCACCTGGGATTAATACTTGGTTTTTGCCCCCCTCTCCTCTTGTAACTAAGAATTAGGAGAAAAACAGGTCTGGACCAGACAAGACTCAAGCCTGAAGAATAGCTGGATAATAGCTGGAAGGGAACAGAGCCTTTTAGGTATGCCAGAGGAGATTTTAAGCCTTAACACAAGGATATTGCTACATTACAGCAATCCATTTCAAGTTACATTTTGGTCATTCCAAAGGCTGGGATCAGGATGGTCTCTGATATGAGTCAGAAGCAGATATCAAAAAATTGTCATCATGATATGACTTTGTGTTTAAAAAGTATGTAGAGAAAGCAGATAATGACAAGGAATTTCCCTGTGTTAGACAAAAGCAGGGAAACTGGGTAGATTCTGTTCTCTTATCTGCATTATGTTTATGTAAACCGACCTTGTTTCCTGTTCAGGTTCTTGGATTACGCATGTTTCTAGCTACTAAGATACTGTCTTCCTTGGCACTAAATGTGGTGCTAGAAGAACAAGACAATATTTTTTTCAAAAATTTTCCAACTATTTCTGCAGATGGGTGGTTGGCTGTATTTGCTCATCAGTAGTATTCTGGAGCTAGTTTCAAGGATGGAAGTGGAAAGGGATTTCCTCCCTGAAAGTTCAGGGCAATGTGGCTCTGGCACAAAAGCTAGCAGCTACTACTAGCTTTTGCCTTCTGAATTCTAACAACAGTTGGTTGTGGAGATAAAGAATGCATATGTCCATGGTGTGTTGCCAGTCATAGTTCAAAAAAGTTATTTTTTCCTGTATATATGAAAAAAAAAAAAACTCTTGTACAAAAGTATAGACAGATGACAATACCAAAATAGCATATCAAGGAACAAGGTTTTGCAGATGGCTCTGGAAAAAATTCAGTTCTTAATGTTGCCTAATCCAAAAGTTGGGTGACTGGGCAAATCTATGGCCCTTTGTAACACATAATTGTTGTGATGTAGATGCACAGTGACTTTTTTTGCTGCCAAAACTCCAGTGACTCTTATACCAATTATTGCTGACAGCTGGATCTTGAAATCTGTCCATTATGCAGGGCTAAGCTTGCTTTCCTGCATCCTCATAACTGATACTACCTCACAGGCATGTAGCTGTCAGCCCTCTCCAGGCTTGTGAAACAAGCACAAGGGGCAGGACAGGGCTTTGGGAGCTTTCTGGGGGGAGCATGGCTGGTGATTAATAAAACTGCTACTGAACTAGAGTCACTGGTCACAACAAGCAGTATTAAGACTTGAGCCTGCATGTTGCTTCCATTGCAATGTTATCTGCTCTGACTGGTGGGTGTGAGTTAAAGTGGTTTGTTCCTGATGGGATTTCTGCAAGATCTGCTTTAGTGCAAGTGGAAACTGCCCAGCATACAGAAAGTGCTGTCTGTAATTTTGGATCACTGTGCCTAATAAAATGGTTGAAAGTCTACATTATTTTTGTCTGTAGGGATGAATGCTGCTCAGATTTTGGCTCCATGCCTGTCTTGGTTCTAATGTGGAACTGTAAGGAAAAATATTGCCTGCTACACTGAATACACACACACACACACACACACACACACACACACACACACACACACACACACACACACACACACACACACACACACACACACACACACACACACACACACACACACACACACACACACACACACACACACACACACACACACACACTTTTTTTGAGTCTTCTGCAGTGTATTTGTAAAATTCACTATGTATTGCAAATTTGAAAAAAATAACTTTTACTCTACGAACACGGCTGTTTTTTGAAAGAAACCACTGTCTTTAGTGTAATAATTCAAGGTATTGGCTAACAGGGAGGTCGTCTTGTTAGAGGCTCTGTATTATATGCATCTACTTCTATCACCTTCCTCCCCATTGTATCTGAGCGCTTAAGTCATGAATGTTTTCATCAGCCCAGCAGCAGAAAAAGGTAAGAATATCCTGTGGTATTCTTGATGTAGGTCGGGAGCAGAACTGGAAAGTAATCTACATCATCTTCCCAGTTTCCAGTTCAGTGCAGAGGTATACTGATCATCTCCAGTCAACCCAACAAGGTCCACTTACTGTGTGGATTTAGTTGTTGTTGTAATCCAGTTCCTCCTTGTCTGCCTTCATCAATGTTCAATAGTTACAACTGCTTTCTTCTTTTACTTTCTAGAAATGTCCTTCCTGCCTGACAACGGGCTCTTCACTATGGGCATGTGGTCTGTTGGCCTTGGAGCCATTGGTGCAGCTATAACAGGGATCGTCCTTGCTAACACTGACTTATTTTTGTCCAAGCCAGAGAAGGCTACACTGGAGTTTTTAGAGGAGATAGAGCTAAAAACTTTGGTACCAGGTAAGATTCTGGACATTTGAGCCCTCATTCTTTGATGGTTGAGTTTATTTAAGAACCTCTGTAAGACTAGGGTTGGAAACTCTGAAGAAGAGTGAAGTATGTTTAGAAGGACTAATTTTCCCTCTATGAGGGTTATCTATAAGGGAGACAGAATTTCATGCAGACCGCACTGGCTGTCTCAAGGATTTTTCTTAGTCTTTCCCAGTTATAGGAAGTAATTGGGTGTCCTTGATAAGAGATGATTCTGCTAAAGGAACAGCCACTAAAACTGATATTTCTGAAAGGTCCTTGTTTTAAATAGAAATACAGTTGGTGAAATATGACACACTCCTAAAAATCAATAAAGCAATTCATACCCTGTTATGCATATAAAAATTTATCTGATAGCACTTTATTTGGATGTGGAATTCTCTGCAATGCTTTGTGTTCTTCCTTAAAGCATTAATCACTCTAAGGAAGAGTGGCTAGTATTATTGTTTATGCTGTTTCTCCTGTATAAACAGAACAAAGAACGTTCAAAGCGGGTGAACTATGGAAGAAGAATGGTGCAGTGATCATGGCAGTGCGAAGACCTGGATGATTTTTGTGCAGAGAGGTACTTGGTGGGCTTGGGGGTTAATGAGGAAGAGTTGAGCTCTACTTACATAGTTCCCCTTTCGATAAAGGCAAGGGGTGAATAGGACAGTCATCAAATACATCTGAAGTATCTGAAAGATCTTGTTTCCTAGCCCAAACTGGATTCCAGCTAACAACATATTTAGTTTTATTTTTCTTTGCAACTGGTCTAGGTCCTGAGCATTTTCCTACTGAAGGCAATTGATATTTGATTTTTACATCTGCCAGGGATTTCTACATCTGCCCATGATAATTTGGGATGGAGACTACACAAATCCAATTGGTAGTGACTCACATGAGCTAGCTGTATTCCATATGTTCAAAATAAAACTCTGTGAGCCAGGTAGTGTCTGGTCAAAAGCAGCCCAAAATTGGACTGCCAGAAATCCATCAGACAAAGCTTATCAGCAAAACTCTGCAGAGAGGTGAGCATAAAGCAGACTCCCTCACTCTTCTGGGTGCTGGATGGAAGGCAGGAATGTAAGGAGTCAGAAGACAAGGAGAACGTGTTACAGAAACTCACTGATGCAAACTGTTACTGCTCCATAACAAGGTGGGCTGGGAAGCAAAGTTTGATCCCTAAGTTAGCATTGGGCTTCTTGGGTGCAGGTGGGAAGAGACCCTTAAAATATGATTTGAACGTAAAATATCCCTGGGAACAGCCATAATTTGTACCTTGGGGAAAAATAGCTATTACCTTGTTATTCACTACTCCATAATACGCAGTAATTAATATTGCAGTCACTTAATTAAGTGATCTGTTCCCAGGCAGGAAGAGAATGTGCTACCTACCTGTCTGACTGCCTTTTGGATACAGTCAGACAGGAATTCATTAATGGTTTTTTGTAAGGCTAGCTTCCTAAGTAGCAGTAAAGAGTCTATTGGAATGAAATATTTCTTTCAGGAAAAAAATGGAGAGGAAGAAATTTAATTTTCAGCATCTTACTTGTGGTTCAAAACCAAATATTTAATAGAGGTAGTCACTCTACTGTTCATCTAATTACGACAAAGAATTATTCTGTATTTTAATGGTGAAAATGTTTGAAAAGCTTTTAAAATGTCTAAACTGAAGTTATTTTGGATTGTTAAATCCTCAAATATTCTTGTGGGTTGACTCCTTCCCCTCGTCCAAGGAGCAGTCGCCTTTTATTGTCCGTTAATGTTTCTCTGCAGTAGGAAAGTTGCTCCTGTCCCAGCTGTTGCTGGTTCTGAGCTGGTGGAATGCTTCAATACAGGCGACTTACTGTGTCTGTCGATCTGTGAGCAGTAGGTTTTTATTTTTCTACAAGAGACAAAGTACGCTTGGTTCCCACTGTCTCACACCTTGTTGAAGTATGTTATTGTTGAAAGCACCAGGAAAGAATATATGCTTCCATGGCCACAGCGATGGGGTTGGAAAGTGGCCATTTTACCTCATAGACCACCAAGCTAATATCGGTGGTGGGGAAGTTTCCATTATCCACTACAAGGGATGTCACAAATCCTCCTGAAATTACAGCTTTGCACCCTTGAGAATTGATGCCGGTAGACTTAAGAAATATGGAATCTTTTATCTCTGTCTTCTGTATCCTACACCATCAGATTTTTTTTATTATTATTTAAGATTAGTCCTGTTGAACACAGTCAAGCTTCTACTTCTCAGAGTTTGGATCCAGCCATGCAGTGATCCAGTACACTAGCCATTGTGAAAGCGCCGTGGGCTTGCCAAATGTTGTAGGTGAAACTGAATTCAAGCAGTCTAATGTAGCAGAAGAACCATAGTTGACCTATGAAACGGACAAACTGAGATAGGAATTGTTCTTTTGGGTTGTGCCTGCCTTGGTGGAGAATGCAAGTATTCTGCTAGGGTTTGCTTGTTTATTTTTTACAAAAGCAAGAAAAACAAACAGTTTCATTGATTAGATGAAATGGTCAGCGCCCCCTTTTACCTATCCCAATGAGAAGGCAAGTAACTGTACAGCTGTTATGGTGTGCAGTAATTTCCCCACAAAAAGAGGTTACATTGCTTCTGTTAGTGTATCATTTTAAAATAGCAGTAAAGAAAAACAAGTTGGGTCTAGTCCCAGGATGCTGTTTGAAGTCTAATCTCTTGAGAATTTTAAAATGCAAGTATTTTCTTACTTTATTCCTGCTCTCTCCCCTCCCAAAAGCCAAGCATTAGACATAATCCCCAACTGCTGCTAATCACGGTTAGATGGTATCCCTATCTCTGGATAGGGTATCCCTTTCTGGTCTTACAGGGGACCCCACAGCACTAGCCTTTCTCAGACATGGAGACTGTTATGCCACAATACAGATTTTTTTTAAATTGATTGTGAGAGTTGTGAACTTAAAAAATAAAAAACAAAAACAGGACAAAATTGTGGTTAAAATCTTTTAAAGAAGATGATAAAGCATTTTGTTCAGGGAAAACTGAAAATAATGGGCAGATCTATATAAACAGAAAGGAAAGGAAAGATCTAATAAACCACGATCCTTCAAGGCTCACATTCACTACTCACTGGTTGCTTATGATGCTGATTCATCCTTTTCCATTTCCTTTTGGAAAAATCATCCGTATTGGAATGCTGCTTTTACCCTTTCACCTGTTGATGTCTTTCTCTAATGTCTTTTCTCTTACCTGTTAGCTTCTATGTGCGTGCTACCTGTACTCAGTAAATTCTAGATACCTAGCGAGCTTTTGAGTTAAGGCATTTCAGTTACCTGACGGAGAGCGTACATGTAAACTACGTCCATTTTTGTGTGTCTCTGGAGTTCTTTGTGGGAGTTTTGTCCGGTAAAAAGGACCTTTCTCCATTTGAGGTGAGAAGAGACATATTTACCGTGTACACTCTTTGAATTATTGGAAACTTCGGAGGCCTCATGGTCTGAACAAACTGGAGCAGTTGGGTTTCCATCAGGAGAACAAAAAAGCCAACAGCTGAGTGGTGATGCCTTATACCCATACACACTAGAAAAGCAGCCTTGTGTCTGGAATACTGAAGATGTGTAAAGAAATTCTCTGATCACTTTCACTGAATGATCTTGGAAGGAAAATGCATTTTCACTCCATTACCTATTCTAGATTTGTATAGCATGCTCTGGCATAGAGCCCTCAAAGTGCTTTGCAAAAAGACTGATAATGATGTAATTTTACTTGGAAGAAAAGGATGTGAAATTCTGGCCTGGCAAAGTTAAATGATATGCAGGCAGTGTCTTTCACTGTCCTGTAAACACTTACAAACAGTCAAAGTCCTAGCACAGGTGAGGTAAATCTATAGCTTTGTGTTAAAACTATGTTTTCTCCAGGATTTTACTATTATCAGGTAAATGCTCAAAAATTCTTCATCAATAAACCTGATGAAGTTCTACCTAGGCGCAGAGCTAGCTTGAGTACCTGATTTACAGGTCTATTTCTGCTTTGCATCTCAAACTAGAATTTACCTATATTTCTGACACTCGGAAATTCAAGATGAAACTTTCTAACTTCCATCCATTGCCTGAAATGTTTTGGGTTTTTTTTTCCCTTTCTTAGGAGGCTTCTGAGCTCTCCTCTCTGAAACCTCAGCTGTCTAAGTTGGGTGTGCCTCTCTATGCTGTTGTGAAAGAGAAGATAGGGACTGAAGTGGAGGATTTTCAGCATTATTTCAAAGGAGAAATCTTTCTGGATGAAAAGGTATAATGAAGTCAGTGTTATATCTCTTTTTGTTTAAAAAAAAGCTGATGGACATTCTCTTTGAAGAGCTTGTGTAATATAGATAGAATGTGGTCTGAATGGAAAAGGATTTAGTAGCACTGTAGTTTAAGAAGTTAATAAGCTTTGCTTTTCTATATATAGCATACGCTTACAAGCTGTTCTGTAGCTGTGCACTAATAACATGTTGTTACAGGATTATTCTTCCCCTCCCCTTTAATAGGTAAACAGTATGACCTCTTAATATTTATTCCTTGCTTCCACTGGCTCAGTGATTTGCTAATGTTTATGATGTGTGAGCCAAGGTCTAAAGATGGAAGGCATAATTAATTCATCATGTACAGCCCAAATTGCAGTGATGTGGCTGGTCCCAGCGCACAGCCATATGCTGTATTGCCAGTCTCATGTCTTAGAAAACCTTGGGCCTGCTTAACTCCTTAAATCAAAAGGGAGGTTTAGAAATCATTTGGCTTCTGAAGGAAAAAGAATACCTAATATTTAAAAGCAACTGGAAAGAGCTTTTGTTTTCCTTCCCCACGCTGCATGTTTGAAAGAAACAGGCTGATTTAAAAAAAAATAAGGCTGATAGTTGCAAGACTTGGTACTGCTGTATCTCTTTACCAGCATTTTTACTGCCCTGCTGCTGCTGCTTCTTCAAAAAAGCCATTTATCCCAAAGCACCCTTGTTGTCAGCAGCATGGATGTAGACGTATACAATACTAAGATACCTGTGGATCAGATTAAAAAACATATGAATGGTAGCAATAACAATGCAGAAAGTAAGGCTGTGGCTGTGTGGAAAGTAAGTTGTCCTGTCAAGTGTTCTAGAGATCGGTTCAGGTGCGATTTATTTTCAGCTCCCTGTCTATTCAGCTTTTCTGGTTGGAGCCCTTCTTGGATATATATACATACATATATATATACACACACATATATATATAGGGTTGGCTGGTTTCCTGAATTTAATCTGAGAGGAAAATCCTTTTAATTTGCTTTATTTGTTTGTTTGCTTGCTGAGAGTTTCCTGTTTCACTGCAGAAAGGCTTCTATGGTCCTCGCAGACGAAAAATGATCATGTCAGGCTTCTTCCGCTTTGGAGTCTGGCAGAATTTCTTCCGTGCTTGGAAAAATGGATTTAGTGGTAACCTGGAAGGAGAAGGATTCACCCTGGGAGGAGTATATGTGATTGGGGCAGGAAGACAGGTACTGCAGGCCTTTTAGGAGGCTTTCATGTCTCCTGCGAGCGCAAAGGCTTCTTCTGTGGAGTTGTTTTGTTGTTGATCGTTTGAACTCCTTCTGCTGTGGGGAGACTAGGATTTGTGTATGAATTTCCCTTTTTGTCTCTGACTAGGGCGTTCTACTGGAGCATCGTGAGAAGGAATTTGGAGACAAAGTCAGCCTTCCATCTGTTCTTGAAGCTGCTGAGAAGATAAAACCACAAGCTTCATAAGCTGAAGTTAGTTGCACGTGTTTCTGATCACAGCTTGAAATGTAGAATGCATCTATTTTTTGAACATGCAGTTTAATTGCTTCTTAACTCTTTAGTGGTCAATGCAGTGGAAAGATCCTCTATTCAAATGTAATAACTAATGAAAACCCTTCTGGATTTTTTTGTTACTTTGTTGCCCTTCAGGTAGTCAGAATTTCAACTTGTCTTTTGGATCTGACTGTATTAATGAAAGGCTGTGTCTAAAATCTGACATAGCCTAGATGTTTTCAGTCAGAGACAGTCAACTGAAACCTGTCTATCTAGGGGAGCAAAACCCTGCTAATGCTGGAGTAACTTAGTATCAACCGAGGTTGAAGGATAATAAAACTTTGTGTAAATGACATGTCGTTGCTTTTCACTTGTTCATGAACCTGTTAAACACATTTATGTTTCTAGGAAACTAAATTCTCTCAGCCTAGGTTATTCTGAGATTCTGCATTCGAGACGTTGCCACTGTATGCACTGAGTTGGTTTCATGGTAATTAACTTCTAGCTCTGGGTCTTTCATTCTTTGTGTGATTCACTGTAAGGAAGATTAAAGACATCTAATGTTTACTCCAAAAGCTAATTGTGATATCAGGGCAAGTTCCTTCTTGTAGTTAGGATTCTACAAGCAAAGAGAACAATATGAGAGAGCACATGAGGTAGTGTTTCCATCCTAACTGAATTTCTGTAATATAATGGCTGGGGTGCTTCTTCTAGAAACAGATGTAGTGTTGCACAATAGGATCCTTGAGAACCATTACCAGACATAGCCAGATATATACTTAGGTTGAAGTGTTAAAATTGTTAGTAAAAATATTTGAGGACAGCATGAGTTTTCCAGATGTGCTGATATATCAAAGTCTAAATACAATTTCAAAATTGTACTTGTTAAATTGGGGCAGAGTATCAAGTGACCCAGCACATCCTTCAGTAGCGGAAGTATATGAAAGGCTAGGTATCTTTGGAAAAATGTTTGGGCTAGAACACATTAAGCTAGCAAAACAATTAAAGGGCAGAATTCATGTGTCGTGGCAGGAGGTCAAACTAAATTCTGCTCTCTTCTGAGTTTGAAATCTGTGAAATCTTGCTGTATCAATGGTACTGTCTGCAGGGATATTTTGCACCGCTGAAACTGATAATATGCCTAATTGTGTGTGCCAGTGTCTGTCCATTGCGGAACTGTGTGCCAAAAATGGTCATGCATACTGCTGACTGTATGAAGACTAAAAGCTAAAAATCAGAACTTCACAAACACTGCACCTGGCCTTGATCTGGATTAAACTGGTTGTGTAAGTTTTAAAATTGCATCATTATGGATGAAATACTAGTTTTTAAAAATACTTGTGTCCGGACATAACAAATTGTAACTAAAAATATTTACGCACTCTTTTTAGTCTGTTCTTCAAAGTCCCGCGAAACAACACAAGCAGCCAGGATTTTTGCATGAGTCATATGTTCACCAGCATGTTTTTGTTTGAAAACTAAATGGAAATTGGACTCATGTATACTACCATCTGGAGTGTTTTGGGGGATGGAGGAAGGAGCAGGAGTTTGAAGGTTCTGGAGCAGCAAAGTGCACTTCAAATTCACCATGTGATAAGGACTTTCTCCATAAAGGCTCTCTCAGGACTCATAGACAGGTGCAGAAAACCATGTATTTGTCTCTGTCTGTATTCTGAGCTGCCTGGATATGTATGCCCATAAGACCAGTGGTGAACTTGAGCTAATGAGCCCATCTGAAGGCAACTTCCTGGCTCCATCCAGCCTCCTTGCAGCAACAGAATCTTTTCTGCTCTGCATTCTGTGCTTCTGTGCTCTTCTGTGTCTCCTCCCACCTTTGTCTCAGGAAATTCAACTAGAGGCTTGTGCATCTTTGCTCAAATATACTCATTCTCTTGGTTAGTTTAGCTAACCAAGCAAAAAAGTACCCCAGTATTGTATAAAGGGTTCTGATGTGACAAAGGGATTTTTTCCTAGACAAGCAGTAAGAACACATTGCATTACTGTGCAAATATAAAGACAATTTTCTTTATTAGGGAGGTATGCCATTTTAATGACAGTAGCATAGTAAAAATTACATTCTTCCTCACCCACACCCCTTTGTAGTCATTCCTTTTTTGGAAAAGGTTGGAAGGAGGAAAGGTGTTTAGAAAGGCTAAAGGAGGGGAGTTGCATCTTGTGAGGTTTTGTTCTGAGTTCTCCAGATCTTGAATCAACTATGATCTCCCATAATCTTTGGGCTAAATGCAAAAAGAGTCAGTGTGGTGTTCCTAGTTTTTAGGTACCTGATGCATGTCAAGGTGCCCAGAAAAGCTACTGAGGGCTTAGGGATATAAAATGCCTGAGTGCAAGTGGACTTCCTTGATTGGGATCCAGAGCAGCCAGAGAGCTGCCAAGAGTTTGCTCCAAGAAATAAGGAAGTATGTCTGGGGGGGGTTTTCTCCTGGGTTCTGTCACTGAAAGGAAATGCCCATGTCATGAGTCCTTGCCTGATGACAGACACCTAAAACTCTTTCTCTACAATCCTGTAAAGCGTGAAGCATTATGTAAATGGCTGCTTGTCTGCAGTTGGCATATTGTTACTTGGAGTGCAAGTGGAGGGAAACGCAAAACAGGTGCTGAAAGAAATGGCTGGGAGCTACTGTTTCTTACAGATGCAAGCTGCTATTAATAAGAAAGATATCATTTCTAATAGGAGGAGACTTCTGGATCACAGCTCCTATTGAGTTTTCCTTCTAGTGGGACGTGGAAGGCTTTGCCACTTGCAGATGACAGTTCTGGCACAAAGACATGCAAAAAAGATACTGATCTCAGAGAAACCTGGATTTGTGGCCTTATTCCAAGGGCTGTGTATGCATTTTATATAAACATCAAATGTGAAATGCAGAAACAGTCCTTGGAGTATGGGATGGAGCCACATAAATTCTAAGAAATTTAAGATAAAGTGAAGTGCTTTTCGAACTTAATAAATCTAGAAAGCATCTAAGGAGGGCTTCTGGCATTACAATTTTGTCTGTGTGCAGTTGGATTCCATCCAGTCTGACAGAATTGGCCCATGGTTCTTTTAAGTCAGACTGCTGAAGGTCTAAGATAAGGATGCCATGGCCACTTAAAGCGATAATATTTCTATCAAGTATTTCATGATACAAGAAATAGAGGCAGGAAGCCATTATGTCCAGCATACTAATGTTTCAAAAAGGTGAAATTTACCTTTAGTGTAAAAACATTTTTTAAAGGCCCATGAAGTCCTTTTGTGAATTGTTTATTAAATACTCACAGAGACTGAGAGTTCTCTGTGCTCTGTCAGCTTCAGCAATGGGACGTATACAGTAACCACATGAGACCTCTGAGAATGGGAGATTATATTTTGTGAATGTTAACAGTGACAGTTCATGTAAACAGCTAGAGGGACAGTGTATTTCTTCTTGATTCTGGAGTTACATAACTGGCGTTATGTATGGAGTTATGATTCTGGAGTTACATAAATTTCAAAGTTTTGTAACCTGTCTTTCAGAGACCAACTCAGAATTTGGATTCTGAGGATCAAAGTGACATTTTAAAAAATTCAGAAGAATTATTATTGATAAACTGTTTTTTTAAGCCTACCTTGGGATTATTTGGAGTTGACTCATCCTGTTCGAATTCCATGTTAACAAAATACAAATAGAGAGGATGGAAAATATATGGTTCCTAGGAACTAGGAACTGTTAATAGGAATTTGACATGGGCAGTCTCAAGGAAATAAAAATGTCTGCAAAGTAGCAAAGTAAAAACAAATGAATTCTAGATGAATTTTCAATGCTGGAGACTGTACGAGGTCTGAACTAGCTGGTTTAAGAAGGTGTTTTCTACTTTAAATGCAGAACCATCATTAAAAATGTTTTTAAATAGTTGTTGATTTTGATGTAGCAACAGCTACCTCTGCTGGCCCAGTTTCTTATATGCATTTAATATTTTGATTTTTTTTAAACACAATATATACACAAAATCTCAGTCACTCCTCCAAAATTACGTCAAACATGACATCACAATTCTACACTCAGTTGGATACCAGAAGCTATTTGGATTAAACAGCTCTGATAATTGAAAGTTTGTTTATTCTGGGCTTGAGAGAAAAAATCAGCAACAAACTCCCCTCCAATCAACTTTCCCTTATTTGTTCAAAACATTCTTGTTCTATTTTTTAAGTACAAAAACAAGGTTAAGGAAAAACATTTTAAAAAGGAAAATGCTGTGAAATCAATGGACTAGATGTAATAGAAGAAGGTGGTTTTTACCTGTCCTTTTAAAAATACCAATTATGTTTCATATCTACGCTGACCTTTTAAAACCATTAGAAAGATGGTCTGCCTCAGAGGGTGCTTTCTGTTTTTTTCCTGTTCTGCATTTTGTTTCACTGTGTGGGTTATGTATTCCCACTGCTGTCAAACTGCCTGCAATTTCATGCCATTTGCAAATATGCATAAAGAGAAGAGAATGCCAAGGGATCTATGCCACTTTCTGAAGTGTTTGCTGTGATGCATTTTGGTAGAAATAAAAGAATGAACAAATTTCTTTTTATCTCTGAGCCGCTGGATGGCACTACTTCCCCAGCCTAAATGAAGGCCAGTAGTAAATCTGAATTTTTTTCTGCAGTAAAAAATTTGCATAACAAAGATGCCAGAAACTGAACACTGTAGATTACTATTATGCCAGAAGAAAGCTTTTGGAAAAGGCATCAATTCCTGCAAACTTTTTATTGTGTGGACATTTCACCTTTTTAAAAAAGGAAAGTAAGAATATACTGTGTTGAAGGGTATAGTCTGCATTATACAAATGTTTCAAAATAAATTATTAACAGACTCACTGTAATCCTCACTGATGTTTTAGTAATATTCCTTCTGGACACTGCTAGTGCCTCAGTGGTTTCCTCTATCTGAATGTGCCTCTGTCAGAAGCTTGTTTAGCGGAGCTCGAGTAGAGAAGTGCAATGGCCACTTGGTAACAGTAGAGGGAGCTGGGAAGATGGAGAAAATAATATGCAAAAGTGATGAATAAAGTTAAATCACTGTTTTTAACTTAACTAGTGGCGTCCAATCTAATTCTACTGCATATTTGAACAATTCCATCCAAATGTATTATTTTTTCTAGTTGCTCTTGGAAATTTTATAAAGGTTTTCCCCCCAAATATTTCAGCTTTCAATTTACTGCTTTAGGTCTAGCTACTGATTTCATATTATCTGAGACTGTTTAAAGTTCCTCAGTAGCTTCTGTGGGCTTTTTTTTCCCCACTGCCATATCTCTCTTAACTCCATAATTATCAAAACTACATGATAATTCCAAGTGAAACTGCTGATTTCCAGAAACCTCCCTGCACAAATAGGAATTTCTTCCATGGAAAGTTCTGTCTGATGATGGTGATAATGCTGTCAATATACAGTGGAACTGGTGGATAGCTCTGGTCTTGGCACTTTTCACCAGCTACTCCTTATTAATTTCAGGAAATGTTTTGTAATGGCCAGAGGAAACAGCAATGACAAATTATGTGTGAACTTAGGCCTGTACCAGTTCAGTCAAAAATCAGATTTTCCATTTTTGCTTTTGCAGTACAGTTACACTCTTTAATTGCTAAAGTGACTGTCTTTAAGTCTTCCAATTTGCCCTCACACTTACAATGTTTCTGTGATGGATGAGATTTTTACCCTAATTTCCTTAGCATCAAAGTGAAGCACACAGAACAGAGATAATGCCAATGGCAAAGGCAAATAAATTGCAAATGAAAAGGTTGTTCCAGCTATCTCCATGTTAATACTGAATACAATCAATTCAACTACCCCGTGAACTAACACTGACCATTTTGCAAGACTATTTTAAATTGCAAGAGATCCCTATTTTACTGACTAGGTTTTACCAAACAAATACTTGGGATGCTGGTTGTCTGGGTGATTCAAACCCAGATCAATTAATAAATAAAGAAGATGATAGTGGAGGCTTGCAGACTTACTTTTCCTGAGTGGGAGTCACTTCCTAAGTCTGCACTCCTTAAATCCTGAAGCTGTCCTCCCTTTGGTTGTCCTCCTGCCAAATCTTTGCAGTTATTGTTGCATCCTCTCTTCTCACCTCCTGCAGAAAGAGCATACTGGAGCTTTCTGCCTTGACTCTGGACTTAACTGGGGATGCAACTCAATGCTCTGCAAGGTGACTGAAGTAGGAGCTTCCGAGATGGAGAAAGGATCCCTTCTAGCTCTTTTTACCACCTTAATCCTTAAAAAGACTTTTCCTAGCTCCCCTTCCTCACTTACAGCCTCCCTAAAATTCAGGTGATTCCTCTTCTAGCATCTTCTTTCAGCTTTTCAGCCAATTTAATTCTGCTTTGGTTTCTAAAAAGCCTTTAGCAAGCTCAGGAAGGCCTGTAAACAGAGAAAACTAGAAAAGCTGCTACAGTGCAACTGTCTTCAGAATAAGATGCCTTTCTCCAGTCTCAAATCGGAGACGTGAATGGGTATCTTGGGGGAAAGGAAGATAGCTGAACCTAGCTGCGCCCTTAGAAATGTTCAGCCTTTCCTGCCTTTGGTTTAAGGCAGCAGTCATAACGCCTGTGCCTAAGACGTTCAATACATGCAATCTCTTGCATTCATGAGATTGTGTCAGAATCTAAGCTTTGAAGAAACAAACAAAACCATTTTATTTACATTTATTTTAACACTTGCAGGCAGAGAAGAAGGAATCTTGATAATGTGACCTGATAATGTGATCTTGATAATGTGGCTGATGCACCAGTATCTATCTGCGTCCTCAAACTTCAAATAGATGTGGATGAAGGGAACTGGGAATTTATGGTGTATTTATTCTATCTATTCTAGTTGTCAGCCTTGACCCAGCAGAGGATTACTCGCTTTATTCCCTCAACCATTCCTCTTACCCATTAGCCGAACTTTCAGCAAGACTGTGGCCACCTCTGTGAGGAGCTGCTGCTGCTGATCTAGGAGGAAAAACGAAGCCCCGAAACTCCAGGCCTGGAGCAGGTGAAGGAAGTGTAGAAAATACCGAAAGGCCCGTCATAACACCTCTGGCATCGAACTACCTTTCTTAACCTTGCTCTACTGCACACAAATGTATTTACATAGTCATTTTAGTGAGGCACTAAAGAAAACACTGTTTTGCTTTATCTTTAAGGAAGAGAAAGAAGATGACACAAGCCTTTCCTTGGGTCAAAGAGATCATAAGACATGGAAAAGAAGGGAATGGGAAAACCAATGGAAGCAACGAGTTACCGGCCAAGCTAGAAACCAACTGGGGTACAAAGCATTACCCCTGAGGAAAGCTTTGGCTTCCTGTCTATGTCCTTGGCTTTATAGCCATTCAGTGTACATCCTCATTCACATCCAGCCTGCTTCCTGAAATCCCTTTCAAAAGCAAACCTAACTGCTTTTGATCTGTGTGCATGAGTCTTACGGAGGACAGCAGTGCCTTTCTTCCACAATTTGAGAAGACAGGGAGCTCAAGATGGAAAACGCAGATGGGGATAGAGAAGCTGAGGTAACTGGCAGGCAGCAGTGATGCCAGGAAGCCATTCCCTTGGTACGTCAACATAAGGACAGGTCTGGAGGGATGGATGCCTGGTGGGCAGATCTCCCAGCTGTAGGCAGAGGGCTGATGAGGACAGTATCTCCCCACCAGCCGCGCGGTACGATTACCTCAGGTGTGAGCTCTCCCTTGCTCACCACACGGCTTTAAAAGGCGTGAATCAGCCCCTCCTTCCTCTTCCTGCCTACCTTCCCAGCACCTCGAAAGGGAGGTTTAAAAATCTTGGGATAGCTGCTGACTCAAAATACTCTTCGGGGCGTTTGGGGTTTTTGCCTTCTGGTTTTCCAGCCTTTCAGGTAAGCTCAGGTGGTGCCCGAAGGCTACCCTGAGATTGCTGTTGCAGGTGGGCTTGTTCTTAGTGCGGAAGTCCCTGAGGAACGAGTGCTGTTTAACCGCAAGACCTTCCCCGCGGGGGCAAAGCATGTGTCCGGGCGGGGAGAGGGGCGCCGGCAGGGACCGCGCGGCCCCACCAGCTTTTTAAGCGTCTCCCACAGGCCGGCCAACGCCGCTGTCTTGACTGGAAAACTAACTTAGAGCAAATGCTTTTTTTT